TAATCTAACCTATAATAATATATAAAAATGATATAATATTTTTGTATATATATATATATATATAAGATATTTTTATGTTTATTTATTTTAATAATCACATATATTTTCCTTTTAGTGTAAGAGAATGTTGAAAAGATTTGTGTTTAATAAATTATAAGTTTGGTTGGATTTTACAAGTTTTGTTCCCCCAATATTGAGGAGGTAGGAAGTGAGTTTATTTAATTATTTTGGTAGTACTAATAATGATGGAAATGGAAAGATTGCACAAGTGGCAGACAATTGATGCGGAAGGGATGATAGCGTCAACGGAATATTGAAAGAGGCGATGACGTCGTAATTCTAATGAGTCCACCAAATGAGGCGCTGCCGCTATTAAGTATTAATATTTAGAGCGAAACTTCACCTGACACTCACTCTCTGCTAAGTGCTAAGTGCGAACTTCCCATACCAAAAACCACCATGCTAGCTTACCTCGACGCCGAATCAACCCAACACCCCGACGCCGGAATAGCCAACAAGGACTTCGGCGGCATCAACTCCGCCAAACCCTTCGCCCTCATCAGGCCCTCCGCCGCCGCCCACGTCGCCCGAGTCGTCCAATTGGCAGCTGCCTCGCCTAGTCTGACGGTGGCGGCGCGCGGCAACGGCCACTCCGTGAACGGGCAGGCCATGGCGGAGCAGGGCCTGGTTCTGGACATGCGCTCCATGAAGGAGAAGGAGCCTTTCCAGATTCTCTGGGTAGAAGGCGCGCCCTGCGTGGACGTTTCGGGAGGGGCATTATGGGAAGACCTCCTTAAACGCTGCGTTTCGGAGTTCGCACTCGCCCCGAGGTCCTGGACGGATTATCTCAGTTTAACGGTTGGCGGGACGCTCTCCTACGCTGGCGTCAGCGGTCAAACATTCCGTTACGGTCCTCAGACATCCAACGTAACGGAATTGGAGGTTGTAACCGGAAAAGGCGAAACGCTGTGCTGCTCCCAAACGCAAAACTCTGAGCTTTTCTTCGGAGCGCTTGGTGGTTTGGGACAGTTCGGTATTATTACAAGGGCCAGAATCCTTCTTCAAGAAGCTCCAGATATGGTTGAGACTTGAGACAAAACAATTACTACTAGTACTAGTTTTTATTCCAATTTTCAACCAATTATTGATTATGTTTTTATAATTAGGTGAGGTGGATAAGAGTGGTTTACTCTGAATTTGAGGACTATGCCGGGGATGCAGAGTCGCTGGTGCAATTAGAGAAATGTTTTGATTACGTGGAAGGCTTCGTTTTCGTGAACAATGAGGACCGGGCCAATGGATGGCCCACGGTGCCGTTGGGCCCGGAACAGCTGTTCGACCCGCTTCGTATTCCTTCCAGTGCTGGCCCTGTTTTGTATTGCTTGGAGGTCGCTCTTCACTATCGTAAAACGGATCTTCCTTCCCGTGTTGATACGGTAAGTTAATGAGTTTTGTTTTGACCTAGGTGGTTGCTAAGTGGGTCCCGGGTAAAAAAGTCAATATAGCTAGCCACTGACGTGGAAGATCCGGAGAGCATGTGTGTTGTCCGCCTCTTTTTCTTTATACTGTATATGATATCATAAAAATTTGTCTCGCAACTTCAAATTCCAATAGCCTTAGCCTAGATCAAATTGAACCTGTTGCTGCCTTATCATTGTTATTGTCCCAATATGCGTCACTTTCTTAATAGCTAGGGATCCCATTGTGGCTAAAATGGTAACGTAATGTAACATCACTACCGCTCATCATACAGATCTCGCTGACGTTACGGTCCCCACAGTAAACCCATCCTTTTCCGGAATCTCAAAACTATTATCATGACGAAAAGGCCCTCCATCGTCTTGCAAATTGCAATGTTCTTCTTCTAACACCAACTCCGCTGCAGGATGTGGGTCGAATGCTTGGACGGTTACGATTCATTGAGGGTCTCAAGTTCGAGGTGGATGTGACGTACATGGAGTTCTTGCTACGTGTAAAGCGTGTGGAGGAGCAAGCAAAAGCAAACGGCACCTGGGATGCACCTCACCCTTGGCTCAATCTGTTCGTCTCCAACTCCCACATCCTTGATTTTGATCGTGAGGTCTTCAAGAAGATTCTCAAGGACGGGGTCGATGGCCCCATTTTAGTCTACCCGCTCCTGCGAAACAAGTAAGTACTCAGTACTCGATCACTTCCCTTCATCGTCTATACTACTACGAAGGCATTGCTCTCTGTTAAAATTTTCAATTTCAATTAATGTTTAAACATATAATATATTTACCATGGATTGGGTGTGGGGACTTGGGAAGGGGAGCAACATTCTCGTAGGATGGATTGATGAGGGAAGCAAAAGGAAGAAAAAATCAAGGGTCCCTATGCAATATGCATGACACGTGAGAAAGGATATGAACCAGGTCCCATCATGTCATTGTTGGCCACGCAAATGAATAACCCAAGCCCCTTCTTTGTTCTTTCCCACGATACATATGTGACGACTGAGCTTGTTTTGAGGGTTGAGTACCAAATATCAAACTGGGACCCGTAGAGGTAGCTATGCCATCATCTGTACCATATTTTGATCGTCCATCCAAAATCGTAACCTGCTCATTATATATATATATATAATATATATATATATATGGTTGTACCTTCATACTCTGTGATCGTCCGTACGCTATAACACTCATTTTTCTTCTCTCCATGCATACGTTTTTCCCGTATGTGCATCCCCTTACGGGTTGATGCAGCTCTGTTAGGTTAGCGAATAAGCAAGGCAAGCAAGCTAGGAACTTGTACGGATGTACTTCTGCATGGGACAAAGATACGGTGGGGCCGGCTTGTGAATAATCCTTCAGTTTTTTTATAGAAGAAAAATGTGGTCTCTGACTCTGTTATTAATTAGATGAACCGATTAAATAATCTTTCTGCACCAACTGTGTATGCAGAATCATGCAGGTGGAGAAAGTTAAATAAAATTGAAAAGAAGGGTAAAATGGGAAGTGAGAGATGTGGGAAATTCTCAATTGAAATATCTATTGATTCCATTCCAAGCAATGTAGCTATCGCGGTCAGTGTTACCGATTGAGAATCGACAAGGATATTTGTTCGCCAAAGAGGATTATTACAGTGATTCCGGAATTTGGATGGGTTCTATTTAGGACATTTAAAGTTTGATGGTGCTTTTGGTGGAGGTGGAATTTGGTTCTGGGAGAATCGAGGGTCCCCCATCAGAGCCACTGGCCCTGAATCGACCTGATGCATTAAATGAACATGAAATTTATGTATTAATTGAACGGATACTATTATATTCCTGCTGTGTTGTGTAGGTGTAGCTAAATAATGATTTGGACAGAAAAGAAGAATTATAAGGTGTATTTATTTATTTTAAATAAAACAGGTGGGATAGTCGTCACTCTGTGGTGGTGCCGGACAGCGATATCTTCTACATAGTAGCGTTGCTCCGATTCAGTCCAGCACCCCCAAAGGGCCCACCAGCGGAGCTCTTGGTGGCGCAAAACAATGAGATTATAGAGTTCTGCACCCGCAGAGGCCTTGATTTCAAGCTATACTTTCCTCACTACCACTCACGGGAGGATTGGATCAAACACTTTGGGAATCAATGGCCCAGATTTTTGGAGCGAAAGGCCACTTTTGATCCCCTGGCTATCCTTGCACCAGGGCAGAAAATTTTCTCTAGAACCTCTCAACCTCATTCTATCATATAATAATATACCTGTTATCCCTTGTATTAATTTTTCTTCTCTGCTTTAATTTGTTGTTTACTATAATAATATTGTTGCAGCTATATTGTAAGTAATATGGGGTTCGGTGATCTTTGGCGCAGTCTATTAATGATTTAATGTACATGTAATTAATAAGTAAATGGAAGCAGATGAAAGTATAATGTGGGTGAGGCATGAGACGTAAATGCAAAGCTTGGTTAGCGTCATTTTCAGCTTAGCTATTTGGTCAAGTAAAGTAGCTAGCATAGCAAACTAAGCAAAGTGCTTGTCAACCAGTGCTTTTTCCTTGGTCCAGTTGGAATTTAATCTTTGAGAACAGAACCTAGCTACGTAACAATCATCAATATGGACCGCCCACTACATATACTATTATATATGCTTTTAATTTCAGACATTTTTAACTGACGTTGATGTTTCAGTTCCATGTTTTTGTCTGTCCTTATTAATTAGTTCAACTTATCCAAGCCTAAGGATTTAGACTTTTTTTTTTTTTTGGTGTTGCCTAAGGATTTAGATTTTAAGTAGAAGATATATACGGACTCTTGTTTTTTTTTTTTAAAAAAAAACGCATTTGCATTCTAGTTTTTACTTATTTTAAAAAATATATTCGTTTATAATTTTTTTATATTGAAATAATATAATTAATTATTTGATTTAAAAAAATATAGAAAGAATAATACAATTAATCGAGTCAGATATAATCTTATATATACTTCTTATTTTACTTAAAATATTTATAAAAATGTAATGTTTTTCTACAGCATGAAAATTTTATTTTAAAATTTTAAAAAGAAATTAACTTATCTTGAATTTAAATATTTCGTGTTTTTAAAATTTGAAATGATAAATATATTTAATTATTTTATGACTATATTGTAAACAAAATTTAATTACATTTATAATTTTATAAATAATATTTTAATTATTTCCTATAGATTAATAAAAAGTTAAAAGATGTGATATCATATGTCCTATCATGTGAAACGGTCACTTCTTACCCCTTATGGTCTCATTGTTTTGTCATATTTCATTCCACTTAGCCAATTAAGTTCAAAAATCTAACCCATTTTGTTTATACAAATTTATAAAAATGTAAGCTTTTTTTTTTACAACATAAAGATTTAATTTTAAATTAAAAAATAATTTAAATTATCTTAAATTTAAATCTTTTAATTTTAAAATGTGAAATAATAAATATATTTAATTATTTTATAATTATGTTGTAAATAAAAAAATTATTATATTTATAATATTTATAATTTTATAAATAAAATTTTAATAGATTAATAAATAAATTATTGGAAGTGAAAATGACAAAATGTCTCATTTCTAATTTGTAACTCCGTCACACCTCGTCCCATGCCTAACATTAATTAGTTTAAAAGTTTTCATTTTCATTTGATTTTTTTATTCATAATTTAACAACGCAAACTATTTTCATTTCCATTTTTGCATTAAATGATACAAATATTTTTTTACCATTTATATAAAATAAAATTCAATTTAAGTAAGATAACATTTTTATTATTAATAATAATTTCTTAAAAAATATTTTTATCCAAAATATTCTTAATTATTTTATTTCTCATATCTAAGGGTATAAGTGAGAATGGATAATCCACAAATTCGAACTGACCTAAACGAATCTAATGAATTCAGATTAGAGTTTTTTAGTATTAAAGTTAGACCCAATTCATTTTGATCAAAACTCGTTATTATATGGGTCAAATTACATGTTTTTTATTTTTTTGATTGATAATCCAATATGACTCGATCATATACACACACACATAGTAGGAATAATAATAAGTTAGTGTAATCATTTACTTTGAACAATACTCTCTATCATTCTTATTCAGTAACAGGTATTGTGTTTTTGAGTTGATAACATTGTAATAATACAATATATTTATTTTAAATTTTATTTTGTATTAAAGTTGATTGTTTGAGTCGATAACAATATAGCAAATCAAAAATTTAATTTAAAAAATTATTTTGTATCATTATTTTCTTTATCGATTGATAACGTTACATTTACAACAAAACATCAAATGATTTACATTTATTATAAATATTTTAATTTTTTTAAAAAAAATATGTTGACCTGATTGAACCAACCCAATCTAACTCGTTCGTGATTGGTTTGGGTTGAGTTGGATTTAAACAAAAAATACACAAACTCAATCTAACATGTTAAATTTTAATCAAGTCGAGTAATAGATTCATCTAAATTCGATCAAACTCAACTTAGTTATATCTCCTTAACATCTTCTAGTAGCTTCTTACCCAACACTTCATTAGAAATAGGGGAGGTGGAAGACTCATCAGTTCCCAGGGCAACCCCCTTTCTTTTTCTTAGTTTAATTTTGATATAGTAATTAGTGAAAATAAAAATTAACCAATTGTGTAAAGTATAATCTATTTACTTTTACAATAATTGTTCACTCTTAAAATATTTAGAAAATTGTATAATATATAATTATTAAGGAGATGAGCGTGAACATGTAGAAAAGACTTGTATTTGAGGAAGAGTGTTGGAGTTTGTTGTGAAATGAGTTCCACATCGGTTAAATATAGACATGTTGAGTAGTATATAACAAGCGATCAAGATCCACTTACTTAACACCTTAATTTTTTTGGTTGATATATGTAATATCAAGTTTACTTATGTTGTTTACTCATTATCCATTGTATGGAGGCTTCCCAGTGTAAACTATTTGACCCAATAGTGGTATCAAAGTTGATGGTTTCAACCAGGTGACTAACTTAGAGTCTCGGATAAATATTTGACAATGGGAGATGATGGATTCAAGTGCAGAATCCTTTGTGTCAAAATTCTTCCTGACAGTGTGGAAGTCAGATAGCATGTCCCTCGATGTCAGCTAACAACGATGTAAGTATCCAAAGTTTGAAAGGTGTGACTAAAGCTCTAAGAACTCCCATTGAATACTCGTAGATGAAAAAAAAAGGTTTTTGTTGAAGGAAAATTAAACCATGACCCTTTGTTTGAAAGGATTTGTTGGGATACAAACAAAATCCTACATTATTGGATCATGGGGAAAAATAAAGGTTTATAAAACACATTGGTATGAAGCCTTTTAGGAGTTGACCAAAAGCAAAATAATGAGAGTTTAAGCCAAAAATTTACAATATCATACCAATGTATTTTCTAATATATACCAATATTATATATGTATATGTATATATATATATATATAATTAAGTATTTTCTCCTTTTCACTATAATGGGTGACAATGAATTGAACCAACTTAAAAATAGTTTGAAACTTGATTAGACAAGTAGTTCATTGAATTTGTTTCATAAATTAAATGAGTTGAACTTGAGTAAAAAATTGTGCTCGATAAATAAATAAGTCAAACTTGAATTGCATATAATTCAAATTGTTTGGTTCATAAATTAACTAAACATATGAATATATAATTTATATAATTAACTTTCTATTGATTAAATTTTGAAAGAACTTCCAAAACTTAGTTATAAGTTAATAATAATAATAGAAGTGAACAATTTAAAATTTCATGATTATAAATTAGTTTTTTATTTATTATTTTATGCAAGATAAAATAGCTTTTATTTATACAGAATTTGGTTGCAATTATATTTCTTTGGACCTTATAACCTTGCAAAGGTAATAAAATAAGTTATATTTTGTTTAAAAAATATTAAACAAATATTTTACTTAAAATCTATTATTAAATTAAAATTTTAAAATATATAAAATTAAAAAAAATGACTCTTCATTTATATTAAACTCAAATAGAACTTTGAATTAAATCATTATTGAACCATATCAAATTGAATCGAACTCGACTTAGTTTGACTTATTTTTAACCCTAATTACATCATATCAATATTAAAATAATTAATGCAGCATTCCTAAAATAATTATTAACAAATACAATAGTTCAAAACTACCTGTCCTTGAGAGAGAGGGAAAAAAATATTCTAGCTTGTTACAAATCAAATTATCACATATAAAAGATAAATTTTGCTTATCTCCTATTCGTTGTCATTTTCGGTGGCAATTGTATAGTGAAAGAATGATGTTGAAAAAAGAGGAAAAAAAAAAGCAAATTTACCCCATAATCAATTCACAAAATTTGGTCGTCAAACTTGAACCTTGATATTTCCAAAAGCAATAATACTAATTAAAGGGCATGCTATATATTGCAATAACATCAGAGGTAGAATTTCGATTTGATTGGCTTAAAATTGCTTTGATAACCACTCTGCATATGCTTCAGGAGACATATTGCTTTGTTAGTTCCAAACTAGTTATGAAAGAACTCAGTAACAGATAAATAGACGTGACTCACGGGATTAATATCTCAAGATTTTTGGCGGAGATTATTTGATTCTATTGGTAGTTTTGATCATACTTTGGGAGACATAATTGGAATTCACTATATATATAACAGTTCAAAATTTTCTGTCTCCAATTTCTGTCCCTCCAATCATAAATTACCACGTCATTATATTTAATTTTTATTTTTATTTTTAAAAAATATAACAAATTTGTTACAGCAACTGCTCTCACCAGCAACACCTTCCTCGCTAAAAACAACCCAAACGTCACCGCGGGGTTTATGTGACCTCTTGCGTCGTCACAGCCACATCCATTATGAATTAAGTGAGAGAGTTTCTTCCTCCTCCACCGCTGCTGCGGAGGTTTCGTTTCGGCGACGTCGGAGGGCGGGAAGAGGCGGAGGCTGTCCGATTCGGAGGCCTTGTCGTGGGCGGCGACGGAGGGAGCGCGGCGGCGGCGGTGGAGGAGGAAGAAGGCTACATATGCTTTTTTCTTCTCTTTGGTAAAGAAAAAACTGTAACAAATTAGTTACATTTTTTAAAAATAAAAATAAAAATAAATATAATGACGTGGCAATTTATGATTGGGGAGACAGGATTTGGAGACAGAAGATTTTGATCCATATATAACTCCCCGGCTCAACCAATCTTGTAATTTAGAAAAGAAATTAAAATAGAAGTG